GCCATAAGGCTTCAGCCTATTCCTTTTTCGGTTACTGTTTGAGTACTTTTATGTAAAATTATAATCTGTTGTTGTTGTTGTTGTTGACTGAAATAAAAATTTCAATTCAATTCAAAATTCAAAACAAAAAGAAAACTTCATTTGACTGATCAGACATCCTGTGCACATACTGATCGAGCTCAACTCTCAGCTCTTTCTCAGTTTTCAAACACTACACAGCCACGCAGTATGTCCGCGGCAGCAAAATTACAGCAAATCAATCGCAGTGTCCCGTGATGCTGCACATTATACGCCACTGCCTTGTGAATATTCTCCATTTCCCAGCTACCATGACCACCTACTGTGCTGTCGAGCTAAAATGCAGATAAATGATTAGGACAAAAGTCCTGTGTGACAGCTTTGCTTTATAAAGGAGCTTGCTGCAGCACTTACCTGAACTGTTGCCCGTAATGGAAATTGACGTCTTGTTAGCCATCTGTCTAGGTGAGAGTAAACTGAGGGTCATATTGGTGGAATTGGAGTCAGGCTGCTTTCCACACAGAAACCTATTGATACTGCCAATCAGGTCGCCTTGGAAATTCAGTGAACTAGCAGCCTTAAAGGCCGTGGAGTTCTGCAACCTGGCCACCTGGAAATATCAAAGTAAGGGCGAATCATTTTTAAGCAAAAGAAACACAAAAAACAACCAGTCATTTCGCGTGTACGTGATACAAGCACTAACCTCCTCAATCAGCGGTAAAGCATTTGCAGTGGTTTTTCTTATCAGCGTCGCCGCATCTGCTGCATTCAGGTTCAAAGCTGCTGGAAGCTTAAAAAGGACCAAACAAAACAATAAATATAAATATGTGCTGGGAATAATATTGAGCACTACTTTTTAAAAAAGTGTACTTTTAGAAGTCCTCCAACTATCGTGGGCATGATTTGTACACCCCGACTCTTAAGTGAAATCCACATTTTAGCTAAAAACACCAATTCAGAATCAACCCTTTTAATTTAAGTGCCATTATATTGGGAACACGCGCCATTTCTTTCCATTTTGACATGTAAGTTGAATCCGAGCATCACCATCCTAGCGCAAGCTAATAAAAGTTACATTAAAATGACAAGTGCTACTGTGCGTTTCAGTGACATTATGAAGGTGTCCAGTGTGAGCCTAATTAGAAGAGTTAAATGGCATGCCCTTTCAACCACTGCCATTTTCATGCATCAAGGCGCAACGCTGCGGCTCAGTTTCTAAATAAAACTCAAATGCTAAAAAAGAAGTGGTCTGAAGCTCACCGTCAGCGGCAGCCTGCCTACTCATCGGTTCTCGAGTGCTTCGCCGAGGATCACTTTTACTGTTAGTGACTGAGTGGAGGACGAGGCACGGAGACGAGACAGAGACTGTTTTATGGCAAAAACGTCTGAAAATCCCCCTCTCAGTGATGGTAGAGGGAGAGGGAGAGATTACAGCAGTGTCACATTAAGGTGAGCCATAGCAACAAAGCAGATTTGTCAAGCTCTCTGTCTTTCTGAATTCTCAGATGGTGAGTTGACTCTAAAAACAAGAGGCTCCAGCCCTACCCCACTGACCCTGAATTGGATAAGGGTAAGAAAATACATGGATAGATGGTCCATCCAACCATCCATCGGAGAAACCACACGTAATCGGATTGAATCAAAACACCAAGACAAAAATGACTTTGACATTTCAATGACCCCTCGCCGAGCTACTCGTTTCTTGAGGAATGCTTTTCATTCACTGTCGTTCACGCACATTACATCCTGATATTATTTCCAAAAAATCCACCCTCAAACTTGTAAAAAGAAAACATCCAAATTACCCCTGGGCAATCACTACCTCAGTGATAAACTCTGACTTCTTCACTCGTCCTTTCCCTTATGTTACTGTTGTTATCGCAATCAATCAGCAACGTCGAGCCTTAAGTGCGAAGGCCCGATGCTCTTTCCCATCCATCTGCTTGAGGCGCTAAAGAGCTTTTCCACCGTATCTTGTCCGGCCTCTTCTTTTCTCTGCGTCTGAAAGTGCCTGTGGGCTTAAATTGTTCAAATGCTCTCTCCTAAGAACTTCCTGCCTTATCACTTATTTATTGGATTTGCTGTCCCATATACAGGATTTTCTCTCAAAGATAAAGTCAAAGAAAAGTGCACACTTTCATCACCTCAAAAGGGAACAGAAAGATTTAATAGAATTCAGGTAAACATTTTTTCAAACAAAGTCTCTTCTGTTCACATTTGTTCCAGTGAAATTGCTGGAAAACGCAACAGTTTTCAAAGGCAGTGGCGAACGGAGAAGTAATCCTAACATAATGAGGAACTTACTGAGTCACTACTTAGCATGTAAAACGAATGTATTTCATAATGAAAAAGTAGCTCATTGTCTAAGTTCATAGCTAAATCTAAAATAATCATTATCATCATCATTAATCGTAATAATCATCACCTTATGAGTCATTAATCTACTGGCTGGATCTCAAACAAATAATCTACTATTATCCACTGTAGTCCAGTTTAGATGTTATTAGGGATGTGCCTATGAGTGACATGTTAATTACTAGATTGTGCTTTTGTAACTAACTATTAATTGTTACATGTACCAATTTCACCAGTTATCTCTGCCTCAGAATGTAAGGCATGAAACTACATTTGGCATTGAAGGAATTATTAGCGAGATTTAAATTTTCTTCATCTTTCAAAGTCACAGAGTCGGAGAAACCTAACATTTAACTTTTAAATTAACCCAGCTGGCTGACACAGAATATATTTGTCTTTATTTCAATTTCACAGTAATTAAAGTAAACTCAAATAAGACATACAGAAAGAATATCCATAAATATTATCTTGTCCTTCAACGTTTGCTTTTTATTACTTAGGTCTCAATTTAGGTTCAACTCCCACACGGAAAATGTAAAAAGAAGAATTTCATTTTTGCTTAGGCATGAACTTCACAACATCACAGCCAATAATTAATGACCATAACCATCAATTACACCAACACAGGCGGACAGGATAGCCTCGTGGATTAGAAAGATTAACTCAGCGGTGGGGGGTTGGTAGGCAAACCTTTCTTTCCCACCTTCTACAAATAAACTGTAGAGTTTGTAAAACAGCAGCTTGGTGCATAAATGTCCAACTTTACTTGAGAAGTTGCTAATAATAAATATGTAACATAAGGTCAAGTATTTTATATTCATTTTATTTTGCTACGGCTATACGCAACTGATCTTCGGTATGAGTGACGTCTGGCTCTAACTGACAATGTCAGCATGATGTCCCAGTGAGTGGGCATTAAATTAAACTTGGATGTAACCTGTTAGCCATCACAACATCTGGACATACTAAAAGGAGAAAAACTATAACTAGCTACACCAATCAATAGCCATAGCCTATGCAGCCTAGAAGGTGATTGCATGGCAATCTCCAGTTGCTAAAGAACAATGTGTATTCCCTGGTGAGTGGGCATTGACTGCTAGGGGTGCAGATTACTGTGGTCACTTATAGTGCGCATGGACAACACCAACTCCTTGTCCAGTTGTATTGAAACTTGATAAAGTGTGACACCAACCAGGAACTGAGTCCTACAAAGCTGTGCCTTCCTGCAGCAAACATGCTGTTTGTGGCTGAAACTATCACATTTATATCAGTTTTCATTTGGCAACACACTTGTTTGACTGCTGCTCAGAGAGCAGCTAGTGTGTGTCTGTAGACAAGTTGATGTCTACTATGCAAAATACATGTGGCTGCTAGCAACCAAAGCAATTGCAAAGACTGCAGGAGTGCATTTTTTGTGACCAGTAACACGTAGGAATACACGTTTTTCCCTAGCAACATGTGGCTGTCAGGTCTGTGTGACTGGGGCAAACAATGATCCATTGGAGTAACTAGTCTTTTAAAGGGACAAGTATTCTGAGAATGAAGGGCTACAATATTCTCCCGTTGATGTGGTGCATCATGAGTGTTTGTGTTACATCAGAAATAAACAGCAAAAAGTTCTTAAATGCCAATTTTGACTGATGGACACTGTTCCTGTCCCAAAATACTTGTTTATAAATGTAACGTATTTATAACAGATGCAGGATCAGACATGTGTTAATATTTCCTTATATAAAGGTGAGCACACTGAGGTCAAAATACATCATCCGAAATTGTGTTTCAAGTGCACCAGCAGTGGCTGACACATTACAAAAGCTTCATTTTAAATTTTTAATGGCACCTTCATTAGAGCAGACAGCATAATTTGTAAGACTGCTAGATGTAGGTGACCTTGCAAAGAAGGAATTAGGGCTTTTTAAATGCCCAATCAGTGTAAATACTTTTCCAACAATGCACTATCCCTTCAGTTGTTGCTAATTGGGTCCAACTTCCTATGCAAAAACTTCTTCAAGTCCCATCAAACAGAAATTTAAAAAGTTGTGAGATCTGTGGGGGGACGGCTCACCTCAAAGAGCACTTTCCTTGCATCCAGGTTTTGCAGGAGTACTTGCTGGGTGTTAATCAGCTGCTGTGGAGTCAGGAAGCAGCTGACATTCTGAAAAGCCTTCTTTTCAGCTTGGCTTCTAAATTGGACATACTGATCCAGATCTGTCCCCTCACACAGGATGCTCCTCAGGCTGTCTGGCCTCGGGATGCCCATCATCTGAAAAATACACAACAGCCTCGGCAAAAGTTGGCAAACAGAAGAACTTTGGATCTGACCATATTTTATTTAATTATGTGTCGTATCCTTTGGGTTGCTGTGCAAACAGATGGTATGCTAAATCGCTTTTCGGAACAGGAGCTAAAATACTGCTTTGATTTTAAATGTGTTTTTAAATCCACAGATATTTATACAAAAAAAACAGAACTTCGTGCACCACAGTGGCAAAAGCAAAAAGTGTGATAGACACAAACAATAGCATCCCCTCACAGATAACTATGGACATAGAAAACAGACAAACACACGTAAACTTCTGTAAGATCTTCATCTTCCTGTCCACACTGTATTCAGGTGCTACCAGAGCCCACTTCATCTTATTTGATAAGACTTGCTATCAGACGAAGAACATTTGCAGACAACTGTGATTTCTACTGCAGCCGGCTTTAAATTACATTTTGTCAAACAAAAACTTCAGAACACTTTGATTACGATGTCAGAAGGAGCGCCACCTGCTGGTTCACCCTCATCTTTCCGAGTGCAGCACTTGCAGCACATTTGCTGTTTTGAACTTTTTTTGTAAAATTTAAATTCCTCTATTTACACAAAAAAGCTGTTTTCCCATATTCCTAATTAGCTGGGATTCTTAACACACTACCACCGTGCTGGTAGCGATACTTACTGGATTGACCTGAATCCGGGCATTCATGAGGCTTTCAGCCACTGCTGTTGGCACCGATAAATTTTGTTTCAGATGTGTGGAGAAAGTTTCATTGTCTCGTAGAATATTCCTCAGGATGACTGGATGAGTTTAAAGAGAAATATAGAGTTAGTGTTACTTTTTTAAAAAGCTGCTGTTTTATATGCATCAACATTTGATTGGCTCCTTTTTGACACAAGCCTTGTTTTGATAGCTTTGGCTATGAGTCCTCCTCGCTCACCATCTGCACTGCAGATATTCTGCAGCCAACAGGCTGTATGTCTCTGCCTCCGTTCTGTGTTTGGTTTCTATACTACTCTAAACAAATGGGAATGCATGCAGAAATCTGTGCGCCGAGTGTGCCGTTTGCCCTAATGGACACCAATGCCAAACATGAAGGAGAGCCAAACCTAACAGAGTAGCAGCCCTTTCACCACGGAAGGTCAGTCCACACAAAGCACCAGAGGATTTATTCTGTTGTTGAAAGGACAAGGTTAAAGCTTAAGTCTCTGTCTTCAAAATCACTGCAGTGCAGCCAGTGAGCAAAATGTTACACTACAACATTAAATCTATAAGAAAACCTCCTGTGTATCTCTATGTGTGCAGGTCTCAGAACAAAGTGGAAAAGCAGGAGCGAAGACTCTGATTTGGTTTTGTCATGCCTGTTGCTTTGAGTGGCATTACAGCCTGATAAATTTCAGTTTAAATGAGATGACAGTTGCAATTAAATCCTTCACTGGCACAAGTAGGGGGTGAACACTTGAGCTGCACGAGTATGTGAGGGGAGAAAATTTGTTGCTAAACATGTACCAGATTGTTAACCAGCCATTTCCTCCTGATTAGCAGCCAACAGATAGCATTTAAAAAGAGGACGTTTCTAAACCAGTCCTCGCCGCACACTGACAGTCACCGTAGCAGGGATCCTACTAACAACACCATACTATTCAGCATGCACTCTGCTTGCTGGGCCTCCAACATTTGCGACCGACGCGGAGGGCCGGGGGTGGAGGGGGGGGTGAGGGAGGGGGACATAATGTAATTAAATGATCACTTTTGTATTTGTACTACAAGCAAGTCAGTCAATTATCTGGATGGGGGAGGAAAGGGAGGAAGTCACTTGTGCCGGGCTATTCAGGGCTCAATTAGTATGAATGTTTGGTGAAAATAACTGGAAATAATTACACACTTTGATACACTAAGCTAACCTTATACAAGGCCTCGCGACTCCCGCTGAGCACATATTATTATGCTCCCCGTCACTACAGGGGCATCAGGAGGGACTGACAGGGTTAGATTACGAGGAAGCAGAACATGCTCCGCGCTCTTCCCGAACACCGTTGGCTTTCTGATTGAGGAGACCACCGGAGTGTTTTTAATCAACCCGTGGATTAAAAAAAAAAAGAAAGAAACAAAGAGGAGGACAACACAATCACCTTTGCTAGTGTAGTGTTTTGATAGTACTCCATTCCCCATTCTTGTTAGTCACCTTTTGTGCTCCCGCCTCAGACAGCGAGTCCCATTAATTACACCCCGGCTTAGATCTCTGATGGATTTAATCTTGTATATTACAAGCCAGCGACCCCTAAATGCAAATGGCCCACGAGCCATTTGTTGAACAGCAGAAACCTCCCTCCCCCCCTCACCCGCCCACCCCCGCTTTGCCTTTTTGCAAATTAGGTGCTGTATGAAAATCTGAATATCATCAGGCTAAATGAGCCTAATGCAAAGCAGCAACTTATCAAGACAAACGATCTGTCAGTCTGGATGGCAAATTGCATCATAAATAATCACACGCCATTGTTTTTGAGGGATAAAGGGGAATAACAAATCCTCCAACTTGTCATCCTCATGAAGGGGATACTTTTCTTGATGGAGAGTACTTAACAAAGGCAAAGCAGAGTGATTGTTGCTGATGCTGATTATTTATTATATCAATTATATTTTGAAGCATTAGTCAGTACCAGCAAAACTCTGATGCCTAAAAAGAAAAATGCACCCCTTGACCTTGTCGCTCGTCACCAGTTTCTGCAGTATTTCTTGATAATGGCTTCAAAATAGGTTTTTGATATAGCTCATCAAGATTTCAATAATCAAATGACCATTAGCGGTACCACTGAACTTACCATTAGCGGAGTTAGGCTGTGACAAAATTGAAGCCCACTGGTCAACACCATTTGCTAGCAGCTGGGCCCTGCTGAGAATAGATTTGTCCACCAGGGAAGTTTGCAGCTCTATCAACATCCCAGAAATTCTGGTGAATTAAAAAGAAAAAAACAAACATTTACTCTAAATGTTCTTAAAAATATCAATATCAACAGTTTCTAATCTAAGCGCAGTGCATCACGCTAAGAGACATTAAGAATGCACATCATTTTTTGACCTCTACGTGGTAGTGTCTTGTGAAATTGTCCCCCAGGATGTTACGGTAAAACTGCGACATATGCTAGTATGCTAATGTGTGCAAATTCAAAATGTGGGACATTTACGGAGTGATTGAATTATCTAAAAAATAGTTGCTGTGCAGAAAACTGTCCAGAGGTGCGCGAGAAGATGATCTTGAACAGAATATCAGCCAAATCAGCTGAGCTTTTCAATTTTTAGTGGCCCATTCCCAAAACTTCGTAATCATGCCTCGTTTATAAATTCCTAAAAGACAGAAAAAGAACATCCTAGTACATACATGGAGTTGTCGAAGTTATTCACTTGGCCTGGTGTCTCTCCTGGAGTTGGATAAGGCAAACAGGGATTTTCAAGGTTGCACACCATACCCTGAATCCAGGGAATCACACCAGCTGATGGCATGGCTTTATTAGGGTAGTGACCTTTGAAAGGAATAGAGATGAATACTTATTAATCTAACCATGTTCATGACATTTCTTTTTTCTTGTCCAAAATCTGCAAAAAGTTGACGAGTTAAAAGTTGTTAATGGATTCACAAAACAAAATTTATTATTGCAACTAGTCTTGTACTTACATTGGCCTTTGTAAATTGGTTGCGTAGTGGTCCGCACCCCCACCAGTATGAAGAAGAGAAACAGAGGCCACAGTATTTCAATGACCAGTCGCACCTACACAAAGAAAAAGGTATTTTCATTTGATTAATTTGCTGTGAATGATAGCGTGTCTAAATCTACTGATTTCTTTGCTTGCTTAGCAAGTATATTAGCTTACCTATAGCAGGTTAGCTGAGCTTAGCAAGTATATTAGCTTACCTATAGCAGATTAGCTTAGCTTAGCAAGTATATTAGCTTACCTATAGCAGGTTAGCTTTGCTTAGCAAGTATATTAGCTTACCTATGGCAGGTTAGCTTAGCTTAGCAAGACAATAAAGCTTAAAATACAAACTTTTTTTTACCTTTGGTTTGGTATAGAGTAAATTAACGAGATACCAGCTTATTTTATTACCTCTGGACAGAATCAGGGTAGCTGTTAAATATTAGGTCTCTCTATTAAATATTAGGTCTCTCTCCTCCAAGTCTCTGTTAGTACACGACTTAATAATTGATCAACAAATCAATTTACTCTGCCTTACAGAAACCTGGTTGCGGCAGGATGATTATGTTAGTTTAAATGAATCAACACCCCCGAGTCATTCTAACTACCAGAAATCTCGAAGCACAAGCCGAGGGGGCGGTGTGGCAGCAAATTTTCACACCAGTCTATTAATTAATGAAAGACCAAGACAGACTTTTAATTCATTTGAAAGCCTGATGCTTAACATTGTCCACCCCAGCTGTAAAACTCAGAAACCAGTCTTACTTGTTATCATCTATCGTCCACCTGGGCCTTACACAGAGTTTCTGTTTTAGTTCTCAGCTCAGATAAAATAATTATTGTGGGTGATTTTAACATCCATGTAGATGCTAAAAATGACAGCCTCAACACAGCATTTAATCTGCTATTAGACTCAGTTGGCTTTTCTCAAAATGTAAAAGAACCCACCCACCACTTTAATCACACTCTAGATCTTGTTTTAACATATGGCATAGAAACTGAACATTTAACAGTGTTTCCTG